CCATTAATTTTATTCAACAGTTGTGCACTATGATGCATTCATGCAGTGGCGACACTGAAGTGGGAGCTCCTCTGTTAAACTCTTCTAAAAAAGTTATAATAGTCATTGACGATATTGAAATTTAATGTCTTGAAATTTAAAGACGATATTTATATTACATGATCTTGGACATACGGTGGCAAGACCACACTACAAACAGCGATGTCCTTCCGAACGCCGGTATGGACAGAGGGACTTCTTATAAATCCGACAGTTACGCTGGGCAGGGCACGTATCTCGTATGGGGGACGAACGTATGCAAAAGTAGTCTTTTTTGGTGAGTTGAAAGCCTGCTGAAATTTGGTCGTCATAACAGAAATGCCCTACTGAAACTCTTGAAAGACCAGATTAGGCACCAACTTGCTTCAACTAACATAGCAGAGAGGACCTGATTACAGGCGTCTTCAAACCGAGACAGCTAGAGGTCACTTACAAAGTCCATGAGATGGACATTTGAGACCAAATGGCAAAATATGTAGGTCGCAGCTGGGGCTGCGTAGCCACGGGAAATACTGCATTCCTCATTAATCTTCTGACTCGAAGACAAGACTTATTATTATTATATATTACATAGGATGTCTTTAGGGATTCTTCCTTCCCATATGCTGAGCTTGCGGAGGGATTCAGACCCAAGGGACGCCCAAGTCTAACCTACAGAGATGTCTGCAAGTGAGACATGAGAGCCACAGACATCTACGAAAGTACGTGGGTGGAGATAAACTTAGACCGGACAGCATGGAGACAGACTGCACGTGCTGGTACGAACCTCGCCGACAGCAAAATAACGAAGCAGCCGTAGTCAAGAGAAATAAAAAGAAAGCTGCCCTATCAGCTTGAACTAATTAAAAAATTAAATGTCGTAACGCACTAAATTGTTAGTTTTGTAACTAAAGAGCGACAATGATAAACTAAATAGTCTTTGTCCGGAAAGGAAACAAAATAAACTAAATATAGGCCCTAAACATTTGTTTCTACTTGGTAGCTCTTTTCTTTAAATTGGGAAACGCCGTTGAAAAGTTAACATTTACTTTAGAACAGAGGTAGGCGAATTACGCCACGCGGGCCACATGCGGCCCGCCGTGGTGTTTTATGCGGCCCGCGGAAACCTAAATAAATCATGTGTGCCCATTTATTACACATATAAAAATGCAAATATATTAAAAATAAATAGTTGTAAATATCTATAGAAATTGTTGAAACTTTTGATTCTTATTACTTATAATGAAGAGGCTAAAGAAACATTGTCTCTAAACGTCCTTCTAAAAAGTTTAAGGTAAACGAAGGTTATATTTAATAGCAATATTTCGATAAAAGATATAAGCACAGGCCAGTATTTATTCAATGCTTTGAAGAATTGTGTTGAAAAAGTTGGGTTGGCTTGTACAATATGGAAAGGGTAACAAATGATGGAGCTTTGACTGAGAAAAACAGCCTTTTTAATAAAATAAAGAAAATATTCCAACCATAAACTAGTAACTGGAAAGTTTACGCATAGCTACATTGAATTCGAAAAAGTTATGGGAAGATATACATATAAAAGTTAAGCATAGAATCGTCACTAAGTATAGACTAACTATTCAGCTTCCCAGGCCTAGATTGTTGGTGGCCCCAGACAGATAAACAATTTAATATTATACTGAAGGAATAGCGAAACTTTAACTCCATGTTAGTGTTCGAAGTACACTAGGCTTTTAATTCCATAATTTTAGTTTTGTCACCTTATTTGTATTTTTCCATTTTATTCGGGCCCACCAAAAACACTTCGCCTATGGCCTCCAATTATCCAAGGCTGGCCTCAACTGGCAGTTCAGAAAAGTACGTGAAGATATTGAATTAAAACATCCCGATGTTCGGTAACACAGTAGTATCTGCTGGCCAATTAAACCAATATGGAATAACAAGGAAGAAATTGTTAGGTTCCTTGATGGACATCGACTGTGACCCTTCCTAATATCTCTAATGAAGAGTAAACAGAGAGTAAACAGTTATATACTTCAAGTACTACTATACATTTGTGGTGAAATGTTAGATGCAAATAGACAATAGCAAATAAAAAGAAAATTGGTAAAATTAGTTCAAAAAATTGCTAACTCATATATATATATATATATATATATTGTTACGAATTTCACTATCCAGGCTCTCTGCAAACTGCACCATACACCACCAACTTAAAGAACTTGATAACTCAGGGCTCCGAAGTAACGTAACACTTTAATTGTTGAATAAATAACAGCCAATACTGTACAATTGGCTACACGTACACTGTACAAATATCTCTCTGATAACACCTTTCCGCCGTATCAACTATTGCACTGGCCTCTCCGTCTCGTTCCGGGCTTGCACTGGGTTCAACAGTTCAGGACTGACTTCACACACTAGGCTCGTTGTGTCGGACTCGATCGCAGACCGTCGTCTCAACTGTACTAGACAGTACTCTGCACTGAACCGTCGTAATGCTCCGTACAGAACCACACCGCTAAACTGTGCTGTAGTCGACCGGACTGTAGTGAACCGGGTTCTGAACCGTCTTGACTGCGATGGCCTTCTAGAACCGGACAGAACGCCGCTCGACGTTTCTAGGTGGTCAGATGACTACAACTCTCGTGACGCTACTGAGCTCTGTTCACGACGTCGATCCTTCCCGAACCATCATGTTGACACTCGTCTCGGCCGACCGTCGTAACTCGTCACGGTTGACCGCTCGTCTAGCGCTGACCTGGGGCGATTTGCGTCGGCTGACTACACTCACACCACTACCCCCAGCATCAGTTTTATAACAATATATATATTTACATATGTGTGTGTGTGTGTGTGTGCGGCCCGCCCGGTCCCCAAATTTTGTTAATGCGGCCCTCGGTTGAAAAAGGTTGCCCACTCCTGCTTTAGAACACCCAAATGAATCATCAAGTTTAAATATGTATTTGCATTGCATTTCCATCTTTAAGAGCTTTATAATGAGCTACTTTACATTATGAAAAAGACATGTTAACTATAAAAGCTGCCACAGACAAATCAAAAAGTTCAAGACTTCAAACAGTCTAAAGACTCTGGTAAGAGTTATATATATATATATATATTTATATATATATATTTATTTATTTATATATATATATATATATATATATATATATATATATATATATATATATATATATATATATATAAGTAGAGAGAGAGAGAGATAGAATATGTATATACATATGAATATATATATATACATAATATCATAGAATTGTTTTTCTTATCTATTAACTTTGTATTTCAAAATGGTAAATTTAATTTGATTTAAATATTTCATTATTAAATTTTTAAAAATGATATAGTCTTGAGACTATTTCAGAAACAATATAAACATCTTGTATTATCATCGCAATCAATACAAGTTTCCATCTATCCCATAATACCTGTATCTTAAATTTTAAAACAAAAACCCTTCGTAGATTGCCTAATACAAGTGTACTATTAGCAGACATAAGCTTACAACCACAGTAATTACAAGATTAAAAATATTATCTAAGGAGAGGAATTCCACATTTTCAACCATATATCTCAATATTGTAGAACTTAATTTCTTTTTTATATCAAACAAAATAATTAATTACCAATAATTAACTGATTAATTTGTAATTTTTTTTTTGATTCATGTTTTTTTGGGTGCAAATTTGATTTTTTTTTAAAGTTTTCACTTGATCCCAGAATGGGTGTTGGACAAATAACGTGTTCAAGTTTTTTACCAGACAGACAGAGTTAATATAATAATAATAATAATAATAATAATAATAATAATATTAATAATAATAATAATAATAATAATAATAATAATAATAATAATAATAATAATAATAATAATAATAATAATAATAATATTAATAATAATAATATTAATAATAATAATATTAATAATAATAATATTAATAATAATAATATTAATAATAATAATATTAATAATAATAATAATAATAATAATAACAATATTTAAGAAAATATGGGAACCTAGGCTTGGAGATTAAGAGTCTATGGAAATTGTCCAAAATAACAATATACCCCGTTGTTATATCAACCGAGGGGATAATAACAACTGACCTCACAGACACCTTCGAGGCCCTTAACATTCCTAGGAACATCCCGTTGCCTGTCAGAGGGCTGTACTGCTGCAGACCTGCCACATCACCAGAAAATTCCTCAGTGGAAACTGTTAAAGGGACTACGATGAATTTTGTTTCTCTTTAGCGAAAGTCGATCCTGGCAGCGTCAGAGAATGACTACTCGTTCGTTTCTAACATAATAATAATAATAATAAGGCTTGTCTTCGAGTCAGATTTAATATAAGCTTCGTTAAACCTTCATTTGTAAAAACCTTTTAGAGCTAGAACCAAAATTTGGTGCTATGATAGTACCCTAACCCTACACTGTTCCTAAATATATTTTTATGCATCTATTTCTTTTCCTTTCTCTAGTCAGGATGAATTTCGCATTTCTACTTCTTGTGCTCTGTTGCGCTCTGGTGTACGTCGGGGCTGTAGCAAACTGGGTCACTGATGACGTTGTGGCAGACGATGGCATTGCGAAAAGAATTGGTAAAACCGCCATTGGTACTCTCCAAGGTGAATAGGCATCTTTATTTGTACTTCATGTCATGAGTCAGTGGATGTGTCAGGCTTTTTTTTAAAGTGTGTGTGTGCCGGTACTGCACACAAAAACAAAATTAATATGACTTCATACAATTTTACCATCAATGTCTTTGCTGGTGAAAGGAATTTTTTTTTTTATTGTTGTAGTGTAAACTATACATTTCCATTTTTTTTTCTTTATTTTATTTTTTTTTACCGATTTTGGTAAGTTGTTTACAAGTTTTCGTTCCATTGAAATGTGAAATTATGTTTTTTTAATACATTTATTTTTGTAATCTCTTTTTTTTACTTACAGGAGGAGGACTTGGTTAAATAGCCGATTTCCCTTTCTCTTGTTGCTGTCTTAGTACTTGTGAATTCTCACCCTGTACTTGAATAATAAAGCAATTTTAAAACGGCAAAAGTTAAAAGTTTATTAAGTTTATATAGATTTTTATCATACTCTTAATATTTATACGTGTAATGTATATATGATATATACTATACTTTAAAAGTTAAATTATTATAGAAGTAGGTAGAATAATACTACTGCGAAGCAATTAAACACAATTCAACACTCTAAAACACTCTACCTCTACTATAGTCATGAGTTATTTAAGAATACCCACTGCTCTTTGAAATTTAATAAAATAAATATGATACTGCTGCTGTGTCTGAAGTTTGTGCAAAGCTTTTTTTATTTTCATAATAATCATCATGATAGTCGAGAAAATATTGGGATTTGTTGAGGAGAAATTGTACCTTCTCTATAGTGCAGGGTTTCTTTATGCCTCCAAAGATAAAATAAGATAAATAATTTTTATTGGTCCAATAAAATGGAAATTCCGTTTGACTACAGTTCAGCACCTATGTGTAGCTAATGCGTGCTTTTTTTTGTGTTTTATATTTTAAAATATCCTGTTATTGAAATTAAAATAGGTATAAGTAGCAATGTTTTTAAAAAAATAAATTTATTTCGTCGCATCTTCTAATTTGAAACTTTCATGCTGTTTTTATACGAGGCGTCTGAAACTGAATTATTTATTTTTTTTTAGAAATAATTTTGAAGAAACGCCTTTTCTCCATATTTCTTAAGTTATAAAGGAATTTTTTTTCCATATGGCAAACCATGGCTCTGTAAAAGTCTATTGCGTAAATAAACGCCTCGCAGGGTATGATCTTACGACAAACACACGAAGTACGGGATCTGTAGCCCCTAGTACGTGTCAGTCTGAGCACGTCCCGTCGCGCTTTAATTTAATTTTAGACTTGCGCTCTGTCTATATGAATGAAACATATGGTAAGAAGTATAAATGTTTTTTTTATGCCAACAGCGGATCCCTTGTCCCAAAGAAAGATGCTGGACATTGGTCAACTGTCTAGGAAACAGCATGGACTCCACTATTTATACTTACCCGCCCTATCCTATATAACAATATGCAGAAGTACAAGTACTAAATCTGGCACTAGGCTATAAAAGTAAAGATTACATAAAAATAGTTCTAACCAATAAAAGTAATAAAAGCGAAAATACATACAAATAAATCTAGCATACACAAGTACTACATATAAAAAAATACAAATAAATACGTCTGGGATCGCAATGTCACAATATTGTTAGACAAAACTAAATGTCAAAATCATCATTCAAGATACCACAACACTACTGGACTCGCAGCCCATGTCAGGCTGGTGAAAGGGAGCTATTGTTGGCTTTTGTTGGCTTTTGTGTTCCTTGTGCGACGCAGAGCACTACTAGACTCGCAGCCCATGTCAGGCTGGTGAAAGGGAGCTATTGTTGGCTTTTGTTGGCCTTAGTGTTCCTTGTGTGACCCACAACACTACTAGACTCGCCGCCCAAGTCAGGCTGGTACGACGCACAACTCTACTAGATAATTTTAAATGGTATCTGTTGGGCGGCGAGTCTAGTAGTGTTGTACGTCGCACTTAGAACACTAAGGCCAACAAAAGCTCCCTTTCACCAGCCTGACTTGGGCGGCGAGTTCGTCCTTCTCGCAACCCTGTCCGACGGGGGTGAGACTCGGGGTTAAACTTTTAGAGTTTGATTTTGCTTTCACTTCCAGTGGACACGGACACTTCGGACTCGCGGACTAGAGACGCGACCGAAGGCCACACCACTGGGACCCGTCGTATTTCTATACTATACCAGGCTAACCGTGCGGGACACACCATTTATGTAATGGCCCCTAGAGGGACTCGCCTGGACGTTGACATATCGCTGCGGGAGCTTTTTTTTTTTACATCCCTGCACAGTGCAATGGAGATGCTCTCGCACCCTCTTAGGCACTCCCGCGGGAGCCTTGTTACGCCACCAATTTGTCCTAGTCGTCCCCTCTTATGACCGTTTCCACCCGGGCGCCACGATGAGGCAGGACAGCAAGCCCGTGTCATTCAAGATACAGAAGTAAAAAAAAAAAAGTACAAAGAAAGCTAGATTAACACCTTTCGGTACCATATGTCATTGGTTCTTGCTTTTAAGCTAAGACTATATATATTCAGATAAAATTATCATTTTTAGGTTTTATCGTAGTAGAGATTGCCATACATTACAAATAAAATAAAATTAAATAGTTTATTTAAAAAAAATGCTCGCCATGAAACTTTGAATTAAGTACCTCTGCCTCTATTGATGAACACTCAATATGAATACCACAGGAAGGATGTAACTAGCACAAATCCAGTTAATTTAAACTTACTTTGAATTAAGTTTTCTTTTTAAAATATTAATCTACAAATATTTTCTGTACTATTTTACAAATATTGCATCAATAATTCTTGAAAATGTTAAAATGTATATAAATTAAAACATTATATTTTGAATTAAAACAGATTAGTAAAAGTAAAGATAATGTTTTATGTTGTTAACCTAGTAATCGTTATATAAATTAACAAGGTTACAAAGACAGTTTGTGTGGACACACAAACTTACAATCGGCCCCCGAAGTGGTCCACCTAGAGACAGACAGACAGATCTAGACATTGATAGAGGATATAACATGTTAGGCTGTAAAAAAATATACTTTAAAAAATCTTTTAAGAAGTGCATATCTTTTTTACAGGATGTCTTTCACAAAAAAATGTAGAAATATTTATTAACTAAAAAAAAGTCTCATCTGAGTTTCGAACCAAGGACCATCTGCGTGATAGGAAGATGTGATAGCCACTACACTACGGAAACAGAATTGACATTGCAATATATTTGAACTTTTTCCTTATATTTTTAGTTTGATTCAAACTAGAAATGTAGATGATGTTATAGATGCCTTTGCTGCACAGAAAGCACGAAGTGAAGCTATATGAATTGAGATTTGTCTCTTCTGCATCATTTCGTCAATAAACAACGATATTATTTATTAAAAGATTCTTAATGATAAAATCTTAATTTTACTGATACTGAACTAATTTGAATGTTGGCTTATATATTTATTAAGTACATTATCTCATGTCATTTCGAATGCCAAAAAGTAAGAGGCCTCCAAAGAATTCAATCCTCCGGTCCCCCAAATCCCTATCTACGCCCCTGGCCCCCAGGGCACAAGACAGAGGAAGACAAAAAAAAAAACGTGACGACGAAGTGTACTAGATAAAGGACAGGAAAGAGCAGAGAAGCCATTGAAAAACTTACAAGAGACCATGGAGAGTAGCGTGTTTTGCTGAGGCCCTATGTTCTACGAGGAAGGCAAAGTAAAGGTGATGCTGATTTTTCGTCTACTCCAGTGAATAATTGTTCAATGTTTCAACTTGATCCGAGAATGGGTGTGGGAAAAATACAATCTTTTTACCAAACAAACGGACAGAGAGAAAGAAAGACCGACAGACAAACACAGTGAGCTTTCTAAATAAGCCTTTATTCAAGTGCTTTGAACACTGAAATATGTCCCAGGGTCAGAGGTCAGGCTCACAGACAAATCAAGAAATGGGTTGACACTGAAAAGTTGACATGACCTTGTTGATGTGATCCAGTTAAATGCAGTGCAGAAGTCAGTTGACCTACGACTCAGACATGCCTGTGCACACAAAAAAATAATCACTGGCTATTAATGTAGCCATCGGTGTGCCGGTCAATGCCATGTTTATTTGTCTTGTAAAGTCAATCTCCTCCATACTAGAGCCACTTACAAGTACCTCCATCTCACACATGTGTAAGTAGTGGCAAGAGCCTAGCCTGAAAAAAAATCATTTTTTTTAATAAAATAGTGAAAAAACTGAAAAATGTTATATTCTAATATGTATACTATGTAAACATAAAAGATGTCAAATGTTTTCATCAATCTATCTACAAATCTCTTCTGGTCTATAATTACTACGTAAATATATTAATGTTATCGAATTAACATTAGATTTATTTCACTCTAAAAATTCGAAGTCATTCGTTCTCTTATTTAAATTAATACAGTTACTTTATTTCTTTCCCCTACAAATAACTGCAGCCTTCGTTTCATACAAACTGGTGGCACATGCACCCTTAATACATAACGTTCTTAGTTTTTTTCTAGATAAAGTGTCAAGGATGTTTACTTGTCTTAGCAGCACCCCAAAATGGAATAACTGTTATTAGTTTTGTGTGATCCGTCCGTCCCGTTTACATCTAAAAAAAAACTAGAAAAGAACATAAAAATAGGACATCATGATAGTTTAGACCATTCTGTTACAACGGCCAGTGGCGTCCCTAGGGTCGGTGTCACCTGGTGCGGTAAGCACTGGGAGTATCCCCTAATCCTCCATCCCCCTCCCCGTAAAAAGTAATCTCCACTAAATAAAATACAATAAAAAACTCTTGTGTATTTTGTTTCTGTTTGATGAACACTCAAACTGTGAAATAATTCAATAAGTTGGTAACAGCCGAAAATTGTTTTTGATTCTATTTTAAAAAGTCGTTGTTTTTGACATTTTATTTAAAGTTATTACATAAATTGAAAATGTACAATTATAGAGTTGAGAAACCTGAGTTGAACATATTTTGTATTAGAGAGTATTTAAGAGTTCCTAAGGGAAAGGCTTTGCATTATACTTGTGTTTCTAAGCTGCTTCCGAAAAGGCATTTCAAGCACTGAACAGGTTTACGTCTTGCGAAACATCGTCGATCAAAGCCTGGAATACCAACAAAGAATGTTGATCACTTTTGTAAAAAAAAAAAAATTTGATAACGTCTCTCGAAGTCACTTAGGAAAATAGCAAGGGAATAAGGCATCTCTCAACAATTAGTCAACATTTAGTGAAGATTCTGTGACATGCCTAAAGCATATATGGCTGTTGTGTCACAACAGACGGTGGAATTCTTCAACATCGAGACGAATATAAGATTAGGATGTATCTTATAACCATTTCTCTTTTATGTAGCCATCGAGGATGTCATAAAATACGGGTTCCTATATCGTAAACTAAACCAAGTTGGATTTTGTATACGACATAGCATTATATTGAAATACCATTAAATGTATACACGAAATAACGAATAAAGCGTTTTTTCTACATTTATGAGCCTACGTTATAGTTTCAAAGTCTGCAACAAATTAATTTTTTAATAAAAGGAAGATTAGGCCTCCAAGTCAAATAGAATTAAATTAAAAAGGTTTGGGACATGGTGATACAAAACTGTGAGAGCCATTTGAGGTAGCAATTTTTATTTTTCAAAGTTGCATTTTG